AAGATTTTTTTTATCAGAACATGCATTTCTCCTCATTGTGAACATATATTGCACTCATGTTCAGAATATATGGTACGTACATGGTCTTTTATAAATCTGAATATATATAGTATAATTGTACGGTGTCCTTGGGTGTCATGAAAGGCGCCTAAAAATAAAATGTATTATTATTATTATTATAGTGCATACATGTCCCCATATAATTGTGAATATATAGCGCATACATGTCCCCATATAATTGTGAATATATATAGTACATGTCCCCATATAATTGTGAATATATTCTACATACATGTCCCCATATAAATCTGAATATATAGCGCATACATGTCCCCATATATTTGTGAATATATATAGTACATGTCCCCATATAATTGTGAATATATTCTACATACATGAACCCATATAAATCTGAATATATAGTACATACATGTCCCTATATATTTGTGCATATATATAGTACATGTCCCCATATAATTGTGAATATATTCTACATACATGTCCCCATATAAAACTGAATATATAGTACATACATGTCCCCATATATTTGTGAATATATATAGTACATGTCCCCATATAAATGTTAATATATAGTAAATGTATGTTCACATATATACACAACCAATATATTATATATATTTACATATATTACTCAATATATGGAAAGCGGCAATTACTGATGTATTATCACATATATTACAATATATTATCACAATATATTATTCAATATATATATATTGTAATATATTAACACAATATATTATTCTATATATCTTCAATATATTTTCAATATATTTTGTAGATATGAATAAATATGTTTTTCATGTTGATTATTAATCAGTATCACTTGGTGTAGCCAACAGCAAGATTTCCTTTATTAAATCTTTTCAATTAACCAGTAAATCAGAAAACAAAATAATGCAATATATTGACAGTTAATATATGGGGAAATATATTTTCTTTGCGTAAGGGCAGCTCACACCTAGTGGGTAAGTGCACTCAAAAAGCTGACTTTTTGGTGTAGTAAAATATATTTAATTAACTGTCGTACTTTTTACATGGTAATATCAAGATTCACAAAGAACTAGAATTTCTTAAGTAACATTTTAAATGTATACACCTTTTATTCATGTAATACATTTACAGTGTGGGAGGAGTACGTTTTATTATATATTTACTCATACTATTTAAATGATTTATAGTCACTGCTCATAAACCTTAAAATACTAAGTAAATGTTAATCTAAAACCATAGTAGCTGTTTGAATCCGCGCATGCGTCTTGACAAGACAAGATACCCACGTTTTTGGACGACGGTGCAGTTGGGTTTGCAGTTGCACATTTGAAGGCTGTTGGAGGAGCTGCATGGCTGGAAAAAGAAGTGTTGGTAAGTTATTGTCTCTCTGTTTAAGACTTATGATAATATATGTGTCTTTGTGCATAATAGCCTGATTCTTGTTTGCTTGAACCATGTTAACGTTTCTGTGCATTAGTTCACAAAGTTGAGAGATTATGTTTTAGATATGTTACGTGCTGTTAGCTAGCTAACCGTAACTGTAATTTACCAGATAATTTTAAAAAACACTCACATGCATCTAAAGAAGGTTCCACGTTTTATTTCACGTCTATAAAACTAAGGGCATAACAGTTGGAATAGCATTGTCAAAAGCAGAGGAGAGGAAAAGTAATGTTAGCTGAGTTAGCGTTAGCCGCAGTTTTCCAAAATTTACAGTAAACACACACACGGCTTAAAATGTCTTATAATTATATTGTTGTTGTTTTTTTTACAGTAAGTTAAAGTATTTTTTCTGCAGTTTGAGACCTGTGAGTTAGTGCATCACTAATTATAATCCAGTGATATAATACATATTATTGTCAAATGAGCCATTCTGCATAATGAGTACTTTTTACTTTAAGTTTATTTTGATACTAATACTTTTGAATTTTTACTTAAGTAAGGTTGTGAATGCATGACTTTTACTTGTAACAGAGTAAATACTCTGTTATAAATATACACTGTGGTATTGCTACTTTTACTTTAGTAAAATATCCACATACTGTTTCCACCAATTGTTTAATTTTTTTTCTTCAAATATTCAATCAAGTCTAATTAAGTGGAAATGTTATATTCACGAAGTTCATCTGTCTTATTTACATATCTGTCTATCAACAGGAAGCATAGCAGTACAGCAGTGAGCCAGTGGAGTCTAATTGGAGTGATTGCTCAGGCAAGTAGAGGGATATATTATTACTGTTATTCTTCACTGCGAAATGTAATATAAAATTGTGGATAAATGTTTAAACCATTGTTTTAATATTACAAATTATGTCTGTTCATTTACAGAGTGGCCTTACTTTTAAGTGGAGCGGCTGGAGCCAGTTGAGGTCTAGGGAGGAAGACAGTTGACAGATTTCCAAGCTGGTCTCACCAGGGAGAACATGTAGGACTCTTTATATTATGAGATGGTCATGCAAACATTGCAACTTCACGACATCAAAACGTTTACAGCTCATAAAGCATTATAGATTGAATCATCTACACAGCGGTCAAGGCCGGTCAATACCATGCTTGTACTCAGATTGTCCTTGTTCATTTAAAAGTTGGAGTGCTCTTCACACACATTTGTCTAGATACCGTACACAAACTGAGCAATTAGGGCAAATTCTTTCATTTTCATGTCTTGTATGTAACTTTTTCTCGGACTGGATGGGATTAAGCTGACCCCAAAAGTACTGTCACGGCCCAAACTGTGTCCCTGTGTGTCCCTGTTTGTTCCCCTGTGTGTGTGGAGGGGGTGTGGTTTCCCTTGCAGGCAGCAGCCTGATTGCACTCACCTGGCCGACCGGCTCAGCTGTCCCTCATCAATCCAATCAAGACACAGCATATACTCCAGTCTCCCAGCAACTCACCGCCAGATTGTTTTCTACACCAGTGGTATTGCATCCTCCTGGCTGCTCAATTCAGTTATCCTGTCTGCGTGTTATTCTGTACTTTTTTGTAATTAGTTTCTCCTTGTGCTTCCAGTGCGATCCCTCAGCCCTCAGCCATCGGCCACCAGAGCTTCCAGCCAACCTGCCTGCTTCTTCCTTCACCATACCTGCCTGCCCTGTTCTCAGTCCAGCCTGAACTGCCTACCTCCACTCCGGACCTCCATAGTCTCCAAACCTGCCTGAGTCTCCGAACAATAAACAATTTAAACATCTTCAGTCATTGCCTGCGCCTGGGTCCTGTTTAAAACATAATCCTAACAAGTACAAGCTTTGAAGGTGAACCTGCTGCCTTAAAGACATGGAAAATGTGTTCTTCATATGTACCTTCCACTGTCCATGTTGCAATTGCTCAGTTTCAGGGAGCTGTATCAATCTCTGTCTCCCCCCTCTGCCATTTTTTTCTTTCTCCGTATAAACATTTCTCCCTCTTTCTCTCTCTCACACGGATTACAGTTGTTGCCGTCTATTCATATTCTGTTATGTTTTTTCCCCCTCCTTAGGTAAAGAAACGTTTGTATTGAATGTTTAAAAAGCACCACTCCAAATCTATGATGGAGTAGATTTTGTATTTTTTGATAAGATAATGTTAATGTTGCATGCAGTTATTATAATGTTAATGTTGTCGGTTAATAGTGATTGAATTGTTGACAAAATAAAGTTGAATTGTATTGTATTTTAGTTGTGTGATTTGTGCTCAATGTATATTAAATGCATAGATTATTACATTTATTAGGTAACATTTTTCAAAAGTAAATGAGTAACAATTATGTAATTAAAGTGAGTAATATAACTTCAAACAAATGAGTAATTCAACATTTTAAACAGAAAAAATATGATAAAAACTACTTATTTACTTCACAACAGTAACTATTACAGATATATAATATTTACTTAATAATTTGATAACAGTGATGTTCCTGTCCATGAAGAAAATAATTAGACTTTACTTAATTAGTTCAAATAAATATAACGTGTACCTTCAACATTATTAAATAAGATCCACTTATTTACTTCATAACAGTAACTATTACAGATATATAATATTTACTTAATAATTTGATAACAGTGATGTTCCTGTCCATGAAGAAAATAATTAGACTTTACTTAATTAGTTCAAATAAATATAACGTGTAACTTAAACATTATTAAGTAAGATTTACTTAATATTTTCACAAATGTTACGTCTGGTGATAAGTACATTTTACTTGATACTGGAAAGTAAGTTCTACTTGATATTACAGCAGTAAAATATACTTAGAAAAAGTAAGTGCAAATACTTGCTAAGATTTAATCAAGTAAATCCTACAAGTTGTTTCTTTGAGTGTGTGAGGATACTGATGATATCTTATACAGGCCCCTATTGATGTTTTTGGTTACAAATCAGACTCTAAAAACAATAATGTGTCCTTGTTCAGGCCTGTTTTAGGTAAAACAACCTCTGTTAAAGGGGCAACTGATGAAAACTATAAAGGTGCTGCTGAAAAGCCTTCACTGGTTCAGAGGATCTGCACAGCACAACAAACAGCGTTGTTCTGAAACCACTAAGCAATAGTCACAAGAATCTCAGCCAAGATTTTTGCTTTAAAAAAAAACAAAAACATAAAGCTTAAAAAGATGGGGAACAATGAGCAAAACATGATTATTTCTAATCATCCACCCACCTCCTTTTCTGAAAATCATATACTGATCCTAGAAAAACATAAAACATGTACAGTATATTGGCCATTTAAGGACATGTCTGGCTTGTCAGGGGAAGTTCTGCTGTGATGGCTTTAGATCAGGGTATTTGGGCATCCATCCAAACAGCATGACTTTGTTTATGATGATTATTTGAAGAAAAGTTACATATAAAATACAGAATAAAAGAAATACATCTTGTCAGCGCTGGGCATGGGCATGCTCTCTCTCTAATAGCAAAGTGACGTATGGTAGAAGGAGGGAAGCGTCTGAAAAACGTTATAAACCAGTGAGAACACACAGTACAGTTTGCCCACTTGGCGACAGTTGATGATGGAGATGTCTCTTATTGGTCTGATACTGTCTATAGCTTTGTGTGAGCTGAACTCAGTTCTTGTTTTGAATAGTTTTTGGGATGGTGTGAAACAAGCAGCTGTGCTTAGCACTAATGCTTCATCTGTGACATGTAAGCTACAAGGTACCACTCGTCAACCTGCATTCTCTATGGACGGTGACTATGTCATTGGGGGTGTTTTCTCCATGTACTCCAACATGCACACTGGGAAGCATAACTACACCACCATGCCTGAGCCACTAAGCTGCGCAGGGAGGTTAGTACAGGGAGATTGTGGCTAGAATGTGGGCATATACAGTATATTGATGTGTATATTGTGAATTTGTGTTGCAATGTACTGTGTTGTATGTAAAAACTGTAAAATTATAATCATTTATAAATATTTTTGTTTTTTACATAATGTGGATTTATTTTTTCTATTTCATAAAAGGCAATAGTTTAACTGATGTATACATATTTAACCATTTGTTGAATGGAGAAATGTGAAACTTATGATTTATTGGACCATTGAATAAATTCAGCAAAGTTATTGTGAATATTAGATATATATCTAATCATGTGTTTGGGTTTTTGACAGATGAAATTCCTGTAAAGCCTACAGAGATGCTATTCGTTATTATCCAGACCATATATTTGAATTTCAGTCATCTTGTAGTCTATCACGTATTATTTTTAAATCTTAAAGTTTTAACATTAACACCGATGTCGGTGTGCAGCATCGACTCCCGTGGACTGCGCTTCTCACGTGCAATGGTCTTCGCCATCGAGCAGATTAACAACAGCACGGAGCTGCTTCCGGGGATCAAGCTTGGTTATGAGATCTATGACTCATGTGCCTCGGTGTCCGTGGCGGTGCATGTTGCATTTCAGCTTTCAGGGGGAATGGACCCGGTGTTTAACACCGGCGACAAATGCTCGCAGTCTGGTATGGTGATGGCCGTTGTTGGTGCGTCTGGGTCCACGTCTTCCATCAGTGTGTCGCGCATCATCGGGCCCTTCAACATACCTCAAGTAAATATTAAGAATGCATTGCAAACTGTGTTTGAGTCCATTACTTGTTTTGCCTCTGTCCCGTTAAATAACTGTTGTTTTCTTTAGGTGAGCCACTTTGCCACGTGTGCATGCCTGTCTGATAAGCAGCAGTACCCGAGTTTCTTCAGAACAATCCCGAGTGATCAATTCCAGGCTGACGCGCTGGCCAAGCTGGTCAAACACTTTGGCTGGACTTGGATAGGTGCTGTCCGGTCGGATTCTGACTATGGCAACAATGGCATGGCATCGTTCCTGCATGCAGCACGTAAAGAGGGGATCTGTGTGGAATACTCTGAGTCTTTCTATTGGACCCACCCACGTAGCCGGATCCAGAGAGTAGCTGACGTTATCCGCAGGTTTCTATATCACTGATTCTCCTTTAGTTCACTGTGCTGAAACTGACCTTCTGCACAGAAAAACCAAAACAAGTTCTAAAAGTGATGGAACATGTTTTTACTACAACAGGAAATGTGCCAATATATCTGTTTATCATCTCTCATGTTTTGTTTTTCTTCATACTTATGACAATATTGTTAGAAAAGACAATATTAGTCTTATATTATAACTATTATTTGTATATGTCATTGAACGTCCCTCCAGGTCAACAGCTAAGGTTGTTGTGGCATTTATTTCCACTACCAATATGAAGATTCTGCTGGAGGAGCTGTCACGCAAGCCTTCCCCACCTCGCCAGTGGATAGGTAGTGAGTCCTGGGTAACTGACCCAGACATGCTGAGGTTCAGCTTCCTTGCTGGAGCCATCGGATTTGGCATTGAAAAATCTGTCATCCCAGGTCTGAGGGACTTCCTGCTGGATCTCTCTCCCTCTAAAGTAGCTGACTCCCCATTACTTACCATGTTCTGGGAGGAAGCATTCAACTGCAGGCTGGTAAAAAGTGAGAAAGTTCTGCCAATTTTAAACATACATGACACTCACGGTAGTGTCTTGATTGTATTCGTTTTTTAAATGTTCTGTCTAAGTGAAGCTCCCTGAATTGATCAGCCTGTTAAAGACCAAACCCCAGATTTTGACTGAAAGGGAAATCTAATATTTTTAATGAAATACATGAGGCGGACATAAGTTGCATCTCGGTGAATGATCTCACAATGTGATGTTCAGGTCATGTTTATTAACAATGCTGTCTAATATATTGTAAACAACATAAATGTACATTATTCTACTTAGGCTATTATGCATTGATTACAGACTGTTTATTTGTATAGATGAAAGCTATTTATTCCTCAATGCACAACAATTTAAGGAAAGTCTCCCTTCAAAAATGGTCATAAAATAAATGCTGAAAAAAAAAAATCACGCTCTAGAATATGTTTATCCAAAACATATAGTGCAGAGTTAAAATAGATGTCCAAAATATATATATAAATTGTAGAATATATTTGTTGACATGTTACAGTCATTGTAAAATAAAGAAGATGAACTTTAAAAAGGAATGTAGTAAATGTATGCTTCATGAGAAGTAATATATACACGGTATTACATTACATTACATGTTACTTGTTAGACGCTTTTATCCAAAGCGACTTACATACGGTATATGTACATACATATTGTAGGTGAGTTAAAGAGTAAGTACAAGTATTTAAATGTAGAGGGACAGTATCAAAGTCCTGACTTCAAGAGTTCAGCAGTCTTATTGCGTGTTGAATCAAGCTGTGTAGGCCTGTTAGTGTGTTACCGTCTACCAGACAGCAGAGGGCAGAAAGTGTATTTCTAGTGTGATAAGGGTCTCTGATGATCCTGTACTGCTGGTTCTAGTGTCCATCATGCATCATTATAACAGGGCAAGTCAGTATTAAATTAAAGGAATACATATTTTGCCTTATACAATAAGTATTTGTCTGATGACTGATTTGTGTAAATATGAGCTGCTAAAATAAACTAATAACGTAAAAAACATTAAGACATGTCCACAAAACAGTGATTTGAAATGTGATGTAAATCCTGCAATGCTTGCTTGGCAGGTTAAATAACACAATACACACATAAGAATGAATGAATGTAATCGTCTTGGCTAAAAACACCTTCCTCTGTCTCTGTGTTTTTAGGTGAAGCCACGGACAGGAGTGTGTGTGATGGAACTGAAGATATAAAGACGCTCCAGAGCTCATACACTGACACATCTCAACTTCGAGTCACTAACATGGTGTACAAGGCTGTCTATGCAATAGCGCATGCCATTCATAACGCAGTGTATCAGAAAACTGATTCTACTACACAGTGTGATAAGTTCACTAAGCTAGAGGCCAAAGAGGTCAGTAAAAATAATGATGTTCTTTTTAAGCTGCACGTCTATGTTATCAAATGAATGCTCATTTGATTTTAAATGATTTCTTTTATCCCCTTCACTGTCTTCCTTTACTTCATCCCTAGGTTCTTAATGAGCTGAAAAAAGTTAATTTTTCCCAAAATGGTTATGATGTGTCATTTGATGCCAACGGGGATCCTGTGGCCACATATGAGCTGGTAAACTGGCAAAGAAATGAGAGTGGCAGCATTGAGTTGGTGACTGTGGGGCGATACGATTCATCACTGCCGGTGGGCCAGGAGTTCCTTATCAACAGGAACCTCACCTGGGTGGAGAGTGGCACACAGGTGAGGAGCCCCAAAGCAATAATTTAACATATCACATTTTGGTATCATCTCAAAGGGTATGATGTCTCATACCTCGGTACCTCATTAGAATTCCAATGTTACGAATAATGAGAGAGTATTTTTAACATGACATTTACGTTTTATTGTTTAAAATACTTTTTTTTTTTTAACTAAACAGAAATGTAAAAGACACAAAGAAAAACATTGTGAAGAAAAAACATGAATCTATCCTTTTATAATTTTAGCTTCAGAGCACACCTGTCTACATGTGAGTTAATTTGTATATATGTGACAGGTGCCTGTGTCAGTGTGCACTGACAGCTGTCCTTCAGGAACTCGTAAAGTGCTTCAGAAAGGAAAACCCATCTGCTGTTATGACTGTACACCGTGTCCCGAGGGAGAGATTAGCAATGCTACAGGTATTTGTTTTTCTAATGTATATCTACAACATAAAATATAAATTCCAACTGCTTAAAGCTCTTTTTCTTTATTTTTTCAGATTCCTTTGATTGTTTCCCTTGCCCCAAGGAATTCTGGCCTAATGCAGAGAGAGATACATGTCTTCCCAAACCTGTAGAGTTTCTTTCCTTCAACGAGCCGCTTGGAATTGTCTTGGCTGCTTTTTCAATCGGTGGTGCCTGTCTCGCCATTATAACAGCGGCTGTGTTCTATCGTCACAGGAGCTCACCAATTGTCAGGGCCAACAACTCTGAGCTGAGCTTCTTGCTGCTCTTCTCCCTGACTCTATGTTTCTTATGTTCATTAACGTTCATTGGAGCACCCTCGGAATGGTCCTGCATGCTGCGCCACACAGTGTTTGGGATCACATTCGTCCTCTGCATGTCTTGTGTTCTTGGAAAAACTATAGTAGTTCTGACGGCCTTCAGAGCTACACTACCAGGTAGTAATTTGATGAAATGGTTTGGGCCTTCACAGCAAAGATTGACTGCAGTGTCTTTCACGTTTATTCAAGTTTTGATATGTACTATTTGGTTAGTTCTTAGTCCCCCCTTTCCAATGAAAAACCTCACGACATACAAGGAGAGAATCATCCTGGAGTGCGCATTAGGATCAGCTTTGGGGTTCTGGGCTGTACTTGGGTATATAGGCTTACTGGCTGTCTTTTGCTTTGTGTTAGCTGTCCTAGCTCGGAAACTACCTAATAACTTTAATGAAGCCAAGCTTATCACATTCAGCATGTTGATATTCTGTGCAGTCTGGATCACATTTATCCCAGCATATGTCAGCTCTCCTGGGAAATATACTGTGGCTGTGGAGATATTTGCCATTCTGGCCTCCAGTTTTGGACTAATTACGTGTATATTCGCTCCAAAATGTTTTATTATTTTATTTAAGCCAGAGAAAAACACCAAGAAACATTTAATGAGCAGGGGTTTTTAAAAAATGTAGATGGCTTTATAAAGCCTATACTGTGTACATTCAAATCTGCTTTTCTTGTTGATTTAAATATTCATATTGGAGTTTCTTTTATGCTCAATATTTTACTAATTGTAATGTAATTTTGTGAATTTACTAATAATACCCTATTTTACAATACATTTTGATCAGTTACTGAAAATATAAAATAAAGTGAATAAATAAAGTCAACATTCAGACTTGTGGTACTTGATAAACATTTCCAAAAAAATATTAAATACTGCATGGCTGCAAAAGCTGGCTGAATTGCTATAATATTATTGCCAAAGAGGAAAATACAACATCCCATAGTCCACAAATCCTTCAACAAGTTCATAATTTGTTTTTGAAAATTCTTATTATTATATTTTATATGCAACCATTTTCAAAGATTGCATCTTTTGGGACACAGCACACCAACTGAAACACATACAATGCTCAGCTGTGAATCAGCCATAAGCATACGCACCATTATAACATGCACATTAGCTTTACAATATGATGTAGCTACCAGTACTGTAAGTGTTGGGTCTGGGTTTGTTTGGTCTAAAATACATCTGATGTTTCTGAATCATCTGAGTCTTAAAAGGCAACAATTCAAAATAAAATGGAATTGTTCAAATGGAATTTCATTAAGTACATTTTGTATCATCCTTTAATGTATATTCTCAAAAGTAACCTGGAATTGTTCCAGTCTTAGTAATAGACACTTACAAACCTTTCAATACTATTGTTTGAAATTAATTTAATAATTAATCACATTATTAATAGTCAATCTCCAAACACATTTCACACAAGCTGTCCGTAGTCTTCACCTATGCAATTGTTTTTCGTTGTGATTGGTCAAACCAAATATTTATGGCCCTTTATGGGGTCATTATGTACACTACAATTTGTCCTTGCCGGAGCTCCTGCCTGGCTGCTTATTTGTTCCTTATTTAGCCTGGTTTCTCCAGTTGTTTTTAACCTGTTAAGCCCTGAGCCTGTTTTTCAGGACTCAGGCTCAAAAATGACATTCCCAGAACAAATGACCATATCTTCCCTTCTAAAAGGGTTAAATTAATAATCTTTTTTCTCAAAGTAATGATAAACCTGTGAGTTGAATATAGAAAAGTCATAATCAATATAGATGTTTTTTATTTGAAAGAAAATTCAGATTTTACATAGTAAAAAACTGTAAATTATAGTGTCCGTCCAAAAATTCTTTTTGACTTATAGTGAAAACTACCCTTGGTAAGGTAGACTAAAAGCTTTAGGAATCCAAAGTACAACATATAATAAGTACCCTGTATCAAGATTGATGCAAAACAAGTGACATTTGACCTTTTTAGAGAGGTTTAGCCAAAAACACTCCACCTCTGAGGTGATTTGGGTGGAAATGTTTTTTTTTTCATATCTCTGGAACCCATTGGTCGATTTTGATGGTTGACACCTCTTTCTGACCGTTAGAGCCAATATAATCGAAAGGGGAGTCCCCCACACACACTCATTGTGAAAAAAAAAGGTGGGGGCTTTGCGCATGTAATTTTGCATTAGAGTGAAGCTACATTCTAGCTCTGACATCTAGAAACGGAATAGCATGGATTATCTGTTTTATTGCTCATGGATTATCAGAACTCATTTCAAAGGGACACAGACACATTGGATTAACCTATGGATTAACTTCAGCAGCGTTTTTATCGTTTTAATGCCATTGAAGACCACTTTGGAGAGACTACAGAGCCAAGGTAAGAATGTTAGCATTTTTAGCTACCTAGCGTCACCTGTTTTGATGTCTGTTTTTGTTTATAACGTCGCAAATTCGTATAATTCAGTGATAATGAGGGTACCCATCGATTCTGTTTCACCTCACGATGTGAATCGATGTCATGGATGTGGAGAAAAGATAAATAATAAGGTTTTGTGAGTGATTTTCGGTGCAGTAATCTGTTAGCATTTTTCGCTGAAAAATAAATAAAAATGATCAGTTAGATGAGTTTCTTCCCGTTACATGGATATAAAACATTTATAGCTTATTAAATGAACATGCCCTCAGACACTGTTTCCTGCAAGATGTTGCGGCAGTGCCCCGGTACCGGGGTCTCTCGGGCTTAACAGGTTAATGTTCCCAAAATTGTGATAAGTAAAGAACTATGTTTAGAGAGAGGTGTGTTGAAAGAAGAACAGACTGTAACAGAGAAACAAAGGAGTTTGGGAATAGATCAAATGAGAGGTGTTGCATCTATCTTACCTCAGTGTGTGAAACTGGCAGACAGTGAGCCTTTGGCCCTGCAGTCGGGAGGGGATGTTGTGATTGGAGGGCTGTTCCCTCTGCATTTTGTGGCTCCTAAGCCACAGAACAGCTACCACAGCAAACCCCAGCTCACACCTTGCAGTGGGTAAGTGTAGGGATACTGATGATATCTTATACAGCCCCATAGATCCACTGAAGACGCCATAGCCATAGCTCTCCACTCTCCACTGAGCCACCTGGAGCATCGTGGGAGCTACGTCAGATTGCTCTTTATTGACTACAGCTCAGCGTTCAACACAATCATCCCGGACATTCTAGTTTGCAAACTATCAAACCTATAGGCCTTCCACCCACCTCTTCCTGGATCAAAGATTTCCTCACTAACCGCCCCCAGCGTGTGAGACTTGGCCCCCATCACTCCTCCACCCGCACTCTCTCCTTAGGGCTGTGTGCTGAGCCCTCTCCTGTACTCGCTCTACACCCACGACTGCAGTCCAGCCCACCCAGAGAACATCATCGTCAAGTTTGCTGACGACACCACTGTGGTGGGGCTTATCTCAGGAGGAGACGAGTCGGCCTACAGGAGTGAGGTACTGAAGCTCTCAGTGTGGTGTTCAGTGAACAACCTGGCACTGAACCCCACAAAAACCAAAGACATCATCGTAGACTTCAGGAGGAATACTACCAACCTCGCTCCCCTCTACATTTACGGCGAGTGTGTGGAGAGGGTCCACACCTTCAAGTTCCTCGGCGTCCTCATTACCAACAACCTTTCCTGGAAGGACAACACCACAGCTGTCATCAAGAAGGCCCAGCAGCGTCTGCACTTCCTGAGGGTGCTCAGGAAGAACAACTTGGCCACTAAGCTGCTGGTGACCTTCTACCGCTCTACCATCGAGAGCCTATTAACATACTGCATCACAGTGTGGTACGCCAGCTGCACTGAGGCAGACAGGATGAGGCTCCAGAGAGTTGTAAAAGCAGCACAGAGGATCATCGGCTGCCTTCTCCCCTCCCTGATGGACATTTACACCTCCCGCTGCCTCAGTAGAGCCAAAAACATTGTTAAGGACAATTCACACCCCGGCTTTCACCTGTTCAACCTGCTGCCCTCCGGCAGGCGCTACAGGTGTATTAAGTCCAAAACAAACAGACTCAAAGACAGTTTTTTCCCAAGAGCCATCATTGCTCTTAATCATCCTGCATGTGAAATAAATGTGACTCTGTATATATATATACATATATATCATTATTATTATTATTATAAATACATACCTACTATTATTATTTATTACATTATAGATTTTATTTTTATACCCCTGGAAATAATTACTGCACTTTATTCCTTATTCCTAAGTGTTTTCTTATGTTGTGATGTTTTTTGTTTTGATGGCACCTTTTGAAAGGGAGAAGCATTTATTTATCTAATTGTACATGTATAATGACATTAAACGATTCTATTCTATTCTATGTAGATGCTTTTGGTTACAAACCAGACTCTAAAAACAATGATTTTTCCTTGTTCAGGCCTGGTAAAACAACCTCTGTTAAAGGGGCAACTTATAAAAACTATAAAGGTGCTGCTGAAAAGCCTTCACTGGTTCAGAGGATCTGCACAGCACAACAAACGATAGTTACGGCTGCCAGAGGCGGTGCTTTAGCACTAGATATATCCATCGCACGCATGCTCAGTTCGAGTACCAATAACAACAAAGTCACCTGTGACCCACGTCACACCGGCTACATAGGCCGGCGTCATCAGAGGATCTGTTCCCAGAATCTTCTCGCGAGCACACAAGAATTCTGAGTGACAGGAAACTCTGGCGGTCATCCGGGACTCATAGAACCGTAGTTACAGCCGTAACTATTGTTCTATTTCGTCCCTACTGACCGCCAGAGGCGGTGCTTTAGCACTGGATGACTTATACCAACCATGTCATGAAGAATCCAAGCCCTTGCTCATGACTGGAAGCAGCGGGGCTCGGCAAAAGGATCACGCCCAAAGAATGGGGAGTGGCGACATTAACCCGATAAAAACTGGAGAATGTGCCAGAAGACACCCACGACGCCGCGGCGCAGATGGTCTCCAGGGGCACCACTCTCAGGGCAGCCCAAGATGTTGAGATGCTCCTTGTAGAGTGGCATCTCAGCCCTGATGGCAGGGGCGGTCACTGGCCCCGTAGGCATGGTATCGACAATCCAGTGGGGCAGCCGCTGGTTAGAGGGCACAACCTCCTTTAGTGCCGCCATGGCAAACGAAGAGCTGCTCCGACTGCCGTATACAGGCAGTAGCCTCGATATACGCCCTTTGGGCTCCCACAGGGCACAGCAACTTTGACGTGCCGTTCTCCTGAATGTCAAAGCGTGCCAGCTGGGCAGGCTGATTGAAGTGGGTTTGTTGAAGCACCCTGGGCAGGAATGCCACATTTGCCCAAAGGGCAACACCTTAGAGTCCCACCTCGGGCATATATCGCTTACGGAGAGGACATGCAACTCCCCAACTCGTTTCCCTGGGGCTATGGCAATCAGAAATGCTGCCTTTGTGGGCAGCCACCTAAGCCCCACCTGGCCAGGGGCTCGAAGGGAGGAGATGATAGGGCATCCAGCAGCAGGGGCAGGTCCCAAGCCGGAGCCCTCGGGGTGCTAGGGGGACGCTGCCGTAAAGCCCCTATCAGGAAGAGGGACACCGAGCTGTGGCACCCCGCCGTGGCGCCGCCGACCCGAACATGTCGGGCAGAAATAGCAGCCACATAAACTCTCAGAGTGGAGTGAGAACGTCCACTATCTAGAAGGGACTGCTGTCTGGGCAACAGTGTACATGCTGTCCCAAGGAACACGCACATGCTTGCCCCCCAGTTGGGGTAGAAAGTGCGTGAGTGCAAGCTGCACAGCCCGAAGCTCTAGCACGTTGACATGTCGTGCACCCTCCTGGGCAGACCACTGACCCTGAACGGTCCTGCCCTGCCGCACTGCACCCCACCCTGAGAGACATGCACCTATGGTGACGGTTCTCCTGGCGGGATGGGATGGCGCCCATGGGCACGCCCATCAGGAGATAGGCCCCTCCAGTGTGACAGAGAGTGGAGGCAACGCTGCAACACCCTGACTTTCCTGTGCCTGTGCCACTTGGTGTCCAAGTGAAGGCTGTTCAGCCACATCTGCATGGGGCGCAACGACAGCGGGCCTAAGGGCCCAACGGCCGAGGCAGCCGTCAGTCTGCCCAAGGGCCGGAGGAACTGCATATAAGGCACCATCTTGCCCGGCCCACGTGGAAGTAAGCATCCCTCAAGTCCACGGATGCGAACCACTCCCCCTGTGCATGTGCTATGGTCAGCATATGGAATGGCAGCACCTTCAGGAATCTGTTGATTCCTCTGAGGTCCAAGATCAGGCGAAATCGGCCGACTTCCTTGCTCACGAGAAAGTACGCCGAGTAGAACCCCCTGGGCTGAGCAGAGGGTCTACTGGCTCGATTGCGTCCTTGGCCAGAAGGACGGACAACTCTTGGGCCAGAGCTCGGGCCTCTGCCGGATCGCTGACGACTGTCATTTTGGCCCGGCCGAGGGCTAGGGGCCGGAACTACGGTTCGTACCCCTGGGTTAAGGTGAAAACCACCCAAGGGCCGGAAGTGCAGACAGCCCAGTAACTGATCTGCTGCTGGGAAAGCAGCCGACGACCGGCCCCGAGAGTCTCGAAGGAGGGCCAGGCGGCAAGCTAGTAGCCCCCACACTGGCCCCTGGCTGAAGGGCTAACAGGAGCGACTTTGTCTGCTCCATGACGGCAGTTAACCGATCCACCTTAGAGGACAGCCTGTTTCTAGTCCTCTACCTTGGGGGTGAACCCATAGCCATCACTCCATCAAGTCGCCGGGAACGGCCAGACTGAGCTGGAGGAAGTTGTGACGAGGAGAGGTGCCACCTCTGCGACTCTAGCCACTCTGAGCGCCTGAGCAATGCTCGCCGAACACAGAGAGGGATGTAAATGACCTACACCCACGTTACTAGCAGAGGGAGCGGGAGCGAGAGCACTGCCTTCACCTAGCTGGATTAAATAAAGAAGCTTAACGGGGCAGCTTAGCCAGGCAGCTGCTGCTAAGAATCAAGCAGCACGTCTACCAGGAGCGGGGGCGAAAAACACTGCCTTCACTGGATGAGTTAAACAATGAAGCTCACCAGAACACGCCAGATGTTAGCCAAGCGGCTGCTGCTAACAATCAGAGCAATACCTTACAGGGAGCGGGAGCGAGAGCGCCTTCACCAGCTAAGTTAAATAATTAAGCTTAACAGTACATGCAAGGCGTTAGCCAAGCGGCTGCTGCTAACAATCAGGCGAGATCAAGTCAAATAACACAAATGTTTAAGACCAGATAACTAGCTTCTAAAGAAGAGAACAGCACAGAGCCATAGTTACAGTAGTAACCATGGCCAGTGCTTACACGGCATAGAACCGTAGTTACAGTAGTAACTATGGCCAGTACTTACACGGTATATAACCGTAGTCACAGTAGTAACTATGGTCAGTACTTACACAGCTTAGAACCGTAGTTACAGTAGTAACTGTGGCCGGTGCTTAAAAGTGTCAGCCAAACGGCTGCATACTAGATTATATAATATTGGGAGGCTGAAATCCTCTTTAATGGCCACACATGCAGAGCACACAGCACAGGTCGGGGCACCATGAATTGATGTATCGGACCCAATGTTGCCATCACCAGCCCCATGCGTTGGTGCGGAGGTGGGACCATCCAACCCGGTGGTAACCCAAGCACTCCCTTGGTCTGTGCACCATGAATTGAAGCATCGGACCCAGTGTTGCAATCACCGGTCACGCTAACGTATATAAACGGAGAAATAGAACAGAATTTTCATCAAATTCATTGTGTCTGTTTCAGTAAGGATGTCGTCCGAATGCCCGGTGTGCAGAGTCTTCTATCTGGCGTTGAACAAACACCTTAAGCACAAACATGCAGTGCGGAACTTGGAGGAGAGGGGAATCCTCCTGAAAATGGCCAGTGGCAGGATAAATGTTCGGACCAAACCCTGTCCCATCGCAGGGTGTTCGTATGCTGGGAAGAGACTGGACCGTCATGTAACACATGACCACCCTGAGTTCTCCCAATATGAGGCACATCAGGTCATGGCAAGGCTGAAGCATAGTGTGGCACTGCAGTTGCTCCATGACCTCCGTGAGACTAACCCCATAATTGGAATGGTTACATAATTGGATATAGACAATGAGGAGGAATACCCCGGGCACCCTCCACCCTTCTCCCCACATACCGAGTGTGACAACGAGGACTGCAGGCAGGTGATGCTGGAACATGTGGCATTGAGCGCTCAGAAGGATGCCCTCAATGATGAGGTGAAGACCCTGCACTCCAGGCTAAAAAAGGAGCTAAAACCCAGGAAGCAGAGTGCTGCTGTGCTTGAGGAAGAGGACGAATGTATACGATTTAAGGGCCTGGCAATCCCAAGTACCTCCGGCATAAACACAGTAGCCTCAGGCAGCAATACCCCTGTGAAGAGCCCGGTGAAGACTGTCATGCAGTCCCCAGTAACCTCCGGTAGCGGGACCCCTGTGAAGAGCCCGGTGAAGACTGTCATGCTTGCAGTAGCCTCCGGTGGGAAGAGACCGGTCAAGAACCCTGTGAAGAGCCCGGTGAAGACTGTCATGCTTGCAGTAGCCTCCGGTGGGAAGAGACCGGTCAATAACCCTGTGAAGAGCCCGGTGAAGACTGTCATGCTTGCAGTAGCCTCCGGTAGCGAGACCCCTGTGAAGAGCCCGGTGAAGACTGTCATGCAGTCCCCAGTAGCCTCCGGTAGCGTGAACCCTGTATGCCGGAAGACCCGTGCGTCTGTCTGCGCTAAGCTGGCTAAGGACTTGCCCTCTCCCTCAAATTACTGGTCCACTGGGTATGGACGGGGGAATACAATGCGTGAAATCACGTTGCCTAAAAGCATGGAGGCGTACCTTCAGACATACTGGGATCATTGTTTGGGTGTCGCTCCGACAGTAAAACAGAAAGACAATGTTCTGTCAAAGGTCAGCCGGATAAAGAACTTCATAGTATACATGGCTAGGCCTGTCACGATAATTAATTTAGTTGGACGATACATTTTTCTGGAAATTATTGCGATAAACGATAATATTGTCGGCACCGTTGTAAGACCATTTTAGACCACTGACATAATGATAATATATAATAATAAGTCAAGTACATCCTTTCAAACATAACTTGTTATTGAAAATTCAACATTGCAAATTAAATGTGAAATAATATTAAAATATATAAATTATATATAATAAATAAAAGAAATTAATTAAATTATAAATTAATTAAATCACACACAACCAAAACAATAAATTAAATAGAGTCAGGCTGGAAAACAGAGCTCTCTCTCTCTATCTATCTATCTATCTATATATATATATATAGAGATAGATAGATAGATAGATAGATAGATAGATAGATAGATAGATAGATAGATAGATAGATAGATAGATAGATAGATAGATAGATAGATAGATAGATAGATATAGATATATATCTATATATCTATATATAGGCTATATATTTATATACATAAATAAATAAATATGAGCACACATTATCTCACAAGCAAAAAAAAACCTCCTTAAAACAACAGTCAAGTGTAGAGTCCACTGTCAAAGACCCAGATGCCTCAACAGGCATTATCCAAATCAGTTTTTCAAAGTTTTCGAGCAAGGAACAACAACATGTTTGCATTGTAGGGCAAATGCATCTTTGATTGTAAACTGTCGGGAAGGTGAGGGCTCTCCATCTCCAGCTCCCGTGTTTGCTACCAGCTGGGAAAATGGAATGGGGTGGTTGTGTTTTAGATGTAGTTTAAAATGCGTGGTATTGCCTGCTTTTGTCGCTACCTTTTTTAAACAAAAGCGACACACCGCCCGGCTCATTCAAGTCCGTAGGTTCGCCTCATTGATTTGGCTTGAATCCAAAATACTGCCACACCGGAGAATCGAGATGTGTAGTTAGGTTTTGTAACCAATTCCATTTCACTTTAATTTCCCCGCGAGTAAGTCACACGTTGTCTCCCGCTTGTCGCTATATTGTTAATTTGGCTGCTACGCTGCTGCACATGCACACGGAGTGTCCTGACCTGGCTGTGTGTCAGCCCCGCCCCTCACAGCGCGCGTGGCCGGCATCCACAGCGCGCCTGCAGCCACAGCGCTCCTGGCTAAAATGCCTTATGTAAACGGCAATTTATCGAGCTCAGAAAAGTTATCGAGTCCATTTTAATTTATCGTACGATAAGTCAATTTATCGATTATCGCGACAGGCCTATACATGGCCCATGGTGTTAACCGCCTGTCAGACTGGCTGTTCCTAAGAAACATGAAGATGAGCCGTGGCTGGAGCAAGTATATTGCAAAGTCGGGCCGGGCAGTCACAACATCAGAATTCTTCCTGAAGAATGTGAACCACTTCATGGGGTACATATCTGAGTCAAAGCCCCGTGGGTGCAGGCTCACCCAGTCTGATATGACCCACATAATGAGAGAGGTGAAAGCCAACATGAAACACTTGAATAAGGCAGTCACTCTCCACCAGTTTAAGGTGAAGAGGAACAAACTGGATCGTCTGCCGAGCCAGGCGGAGCTTCTCGCCGCCATGGCGGCCGCTGAGAAGCGCATCCCGGAGCTCCTCGACCTGATGGCCGGCAAGCCGACCTCAACCACCCAGTACCTTCTCTATGGCTATCTCACCCTCCATTGGAGCCTCCTGTATGGCCACCGTCCGGGCGTGTACGCAAACATGAAAAACACTGAGGTCTTAGAGGCGGCCAAAAGGGGAACTGCTGAGGGCTACATCATCCATGTGCAGGATCACAAGACGGCCAAGACATATGGCGAAGCACAGCTGGCGCTTACAGTAGAGGAGTTTAGCTGGGTCATGCAGTGGATGGGGATTAAAGAGGCACTGGGTCCTCAGAATGAATTCTTCCTTTTCACAACGGAGATTTGGGCCTCCAAGAACCTGAACGCTCACTTGAAGAGGGCATGGGCTGATGCTGGGCTAGAAACAGCCGTCACCTTCACAATCCTGCGCACTGCCCTGGCTGACAATATCAAGCATCACCAAGATCCAGAAAGCCGGTCGATTCTCGCCAGGTTTATGTGTCACGACGTAACCACGGCGGACCGGTTCTACGTGAATGCGCCTGGAATAAAGGAGGCATTGAAAATCCGCTCCATGTTCAGGG